ATATCACAAGAAGATATTGCACCAAACTGTAATTACAAATAGAAGTATTACTGAGAAAAGGTTAAACTCAAGTTTCTTTATTTTTCTGGTAGTCGACAACTATATCTCCTTCATGGAAATTAGTATAGGTAATAGCATGATTTGTAGTGATATTTGGCATAAATACCACGAGTGATATTTCGAAATTGTTATACGTAATTTCACGAGCCGTTAGGCGAGTGAAATTTGAGACAATTTTGAAATATCACGAGTGGTATTTATGCCAAATATCACGTACAAATCATGCTATTATTTGTTTATACTACTACCCGAAAAAGGTTTTGTAATTTTCACGTGTCGGTATTTCAAATTAAGCTGAAATACCACTGCTCTAAGCCAATCAGATTGCAGAAATTTCTCATGTAGTAGTATAAAGAACGTAATCAAATACCTACTTAGCCTAAATTGCCAATAACTACCCCAAAATAAAAGACCCTTTTTTCCCACACCTCAAAAAATGTAGGTTCCTTTTAGCGGGTGTTCACTATATCGTTTGTTCTAGTTTGTACACTTCACACGTGTCCAGTATACACAAACGGATACGATTCGTCAAAATGCCCATTCCAATCTTACCATTAGCGAAAAGTAACGATTTGTTAAAGAAGCCGTCCGATTCGTCACGGTAACTAACAGTGTTTCTGCTGTTGCAGATTACAACTGAAAGTGAAGAGAAAAAGACCCCCAAGGGCTGTTCAAACGATGAGATACTGGCAGTATTAGGACACGAGCTTGGGCACTGGAAGCTCAGTCACACTCTTAAAAACCTTGCTATCTCACAGGTAACATTGAGTAGTATCGGGTCGAATTCTAGGATAGAGTAACCTAGAACCTTCCATAACTCTACGCCAAAAAATGTTAAAAAATTTAACGAGTTTCGAATCAAAAATAATGTACACAATGTTAGCGATATTCACCTACATTGTATTCCAGTGCAAGGAAACCATTCATCAATATTTCGGTGGGGAAGTGAAGCACAAAGGCTTGATTTTACCAACTCAGTTGATAATGTAAATTTTCCACAGTAAAAAGATTAAAAAGCTAACGTTTGGAGCGCACGATTTGCCTCTTACTACAAAATACGAGATATGCCCCGATCATATCATCACCGTAGCATAAAAGCAGCCGACATTTTTTGATGCTACGGTACCACTGGTTTCCCCTCGAAATGATTTCTGAGGAACGAGCGCAGAAATTCCATACTGATGACTCGTCACTACCCAGATCTGGGTAGTGCTTCTGATTGGTTGTGTGGAAAATTTGCTTCAGCCAATCAGAAACGCTACCCAGATCTGGGAAGTGTCACGTCATCAGTATGGAATTTCTGTACTCCTCTCTCAGACGTCATTTGACGAATTGTCGGCTTTTTTCTCAGGCAAGTTATCCCGTGGCTCAACGCCTTTGCGTTTTACCTTTCCTCGCTTATGAGCTACCGGTACTCCCACTTTCAACCAAGCGTTTCTGAATTAAACCCGTATTCATCCGTGGCAAATATCACACCCGTCGAGTCAGAATCAATTTGGCTATTTTTTAACCCTTTGAGTCCCAATGGTGACCAACATCAATTTTCTTCTAACCATATCCATAGATTGTCCAGAGATTAGGTTATGAGAATTAATAAGTTGATCACCTAAGAAAAATGCTTAATCTTTTATCAAATTCTCTCAACCAATCCATGAAGGAAATGTATAGAGATCAGTTTGGAGAATTTGTATGTGGATATTGGTTAACTACTGCTTGCTCTCCTGTCTGTAGGTGAATTTGTTCCTTTGTTTTATGATGTTTGGTTACCTGATGCACTACAAGGTCTTGTTCACCAGTTTTGGTTTTCCTAACTCTCAACCCACCATGATCGGCCTGGTTATCATATTCCAGTTTATATTTTCACCTTATAATGAGGTAAGCACAGAAACTGTTTATTGTTTATTGTTTTGTTTGCCATAAGTTGTACAAAGCAAAAAAAAAATCTAATTATTTAAACTCTCATGGCGAGGAAGCCCAAGAGAAGCCACCGGGCTTATAAGGAATGGGCTCCCTCAGTTAGATAATTAGAACAAAATATTATCATAGTAGATACAGAGTCACCCCCTCGGCAAAATTTCTCAATATATCGTAGCTAAAAAGAACCTCTTTTATCCTATAAACTTCAGTGAAATACCAGGTGAGCTTTTGCTCGAAAACATGATATTTTCACATGTGAGATTAACATGTTATCTTCACTTGTGAAAAGATCACTGTTGCTATGGCTACATAATAAAGCGCGCCTTTCATTCTTAGCACAAAATTATTAGAGTAAAAAGTGTTGGTAATTTTTTTGGTGTTTATATGATAAGGCTTAGAGAAGAGACATACATGTACAACACCTCACATGTACGTAGAGGATATTAAATGGCCGCCTGGAGATACGAAATTTCTCTCCTCCTGTTGAAAAATTTTTCACGAGTGAGCGCAGCGAACGAGTAAAATATATCTTTCTACGTTCGAAGAGAAATTTCTTATCTCCAAGTGGCCATTTAATACCGGTATCCTCTATGCACATATGATGGGTTGTACATGTATGTCTCTTCTCTAAGCCTAGCCTGGTGGCCGATTAACCGGGTGTATTTTCTAAACTTTTGCTGTAATTTTAGTTGTTAGGCTTTCTAATGACCGTGCTGAGCCGGAAGTTCGAGTTTCAAGCAGACGCTTTTGCAAAATCTCTTGGATTTTCTGGTCATCTACGCTCTTCTCTAATAAAGCTCCATAAAGATAATCTTGGGTTCCCTGTGGCAGACAAGCTGTACTCTGCTTATCACTACTCCCACCCACCACTCATTGAACGACTCAGAGCCCTGGGAACCAAGCAAGACTAAACGAAATTGTTATACGTAATTTCACGAGCCGTTAGGCGAGTGAAATTTGAGACAATTTTGAAATATCACGAGTGGTATTTATGCCAAATATCACGTACAAATCATGCTATTATTTGTTTATACTACTACCCGAAAAAGGTTTTGTAATTTTCACGTGTCGGTATTTCAAATTAAGCTGAAATACCACTGCTCTAAGCCAATCAGATTGCAGAAATTTCTCATGTAGTAGTATAAAGAACGTAATCAAATACCTACTTAGCCTAAATTGCCAATAACTACCCCAAAATAAAAGACCCTTTTTTCCCACACCTCAAAAAATGTAGGTTCCTTTTAGCGGGTGTTCACTATATCGTTTGTTCTAGTTTGTACACTTCACACGTGTCCAGTATACACAAACGGATACGATTCGTCAAAATGCCCATTCCAATCTTACCATTAGCGAAAAGTAACGATTTGTTAAAGAAGCCGTCCGATTCGTCACGGTAACTAACAGTATTTCTGCTGTTGCAGATTACAACTGAAAGTGAAGAGAAAAAGACCCCCAAGGGCTGTTCAAACGATGAGATACTGGCAGTATTAGGACACGAGCTTGGGCACTGGAAGCTCAGTCACACTCTTAAAAACCTTGCTATCTCACAGGTAACATTGAGTAGTATCGGGTCGAATTCTAGGATAGAGTAACCTAGAACCTTCCATAACTCTACGCCAAAAAATGTTAAAAAATTTAACGAGTTTCGAATCAAAAATAATGTACACAATGTTAGCGATATTCACCTACATTGTATTCCAGTGCAAGGAAACCATTCATCAATATTTCGGTGGGGAAGTGAAGCACAAAGGCTTGATTTTACCAACTCAGTTGATAATGTAAATTTTCCACAGTAAAAAGATTAAAAAGCTAACGTTTGGAGCGCACGATTTGCCTCTTACTACAAAATACGAGATATGCCCCGATCATATCATCACCGTAGCATAAAAGCAGCCGACATTTTTTGATGCTACGGTACCACTGGTTTCCCCTCGAAATGATTTCTGAGGAACGAGCGCAGAAATTCCATACTGATGACTCGTCACTACCCAGATCTGGGTAGTGCTTCTGATTGGTTGTGTGGAAAATTTGCTTCAGCCAATCAGAAACGCTACCCAGATCTGGGAAGTGTCACGTCATCAGTATGGAATTTCTGTACTCCTCTCTCAGACGTCATTTGACGAATTGTCGGCTTTTTTCTCAGGCAAGTTATCCCGTGGCTCAACGCCTTTGCGTTTTACCTTTCCTCGCTTATGAGCTACCGGTACTCCCACTTTCAACCAAGCGTTTCTGAATTAAACCCGTATTCATCCGTGGCAAATATCACACCCGTCGAGTCAGAATCAATTTGGCTATTTTTTAACCCTTTGAGTCCCAATGGTGACCAACATCAATTTTCTCCTGACCATATCCATAGATTGTCCAGAGATTAGGTTATGAGAATTAATAAGTTGATCACCTAAGAAAAATGCTTAATCTTTTATCAAATTCTCTCAACCAATCCATGAAGGAAATGTATAGAGATCAGTTTGGAGAATTTGTATGTGGATATTGGTTAACTACTGCTTGCTCTCCTGTCTGTAGGTGAATTTGTTCCTTTGTTTTATGATGTTTGGTTACCTGATGCACTACAAGGTCTTGTTCACCAGTTTTGGTTTTCCTAACTCTCAACCCACCATGATCGGCCTGGTTATCATATTCCAGTTTATATTTTCACCTTATAATGAGGTAAGCACAGAAACTGTTTATTGTTTATTGTTTTGTTTGCCATAAGTTGTACAAAGCAAAAAAAAAATCTAATTATTTAAACTCTCATGGCGAGGAAGCCCAAGAGAAGCCACCGGGCTTATAAGGAATGGGCTCCCTCAGTTAGATAATTAGAACAAAATATTATCATAGTAGATACAGAGTCACCCCCTCGGCAAAATTTCTCAATATATCGTAGCTAAGAAGAACCTCTTTTATCCTATAAACTTCAGTGAAATACCAGGTGAGCTTTTGCTCGAAAACATGATATTTTCACATGTGAGATTAACATGTTATCTTCACTTGTGAAAAGATCACTGTTGCTATGGCTACATAAT